GGGGACAGCACAGTCGGGGGCTGGGTGGTGCGCTGGGCCCACCGAAGGCGGCCTGCCGAGGACACTCAGTGATACCCAGCCAGGCGGTGGCCGGCAAAAAAACAAAACAACAACAACAACAAACCGTCCGGGCGCCCCCAGGCCCGCGTTCGCCCGCGTTCGCCCTCATTCGAATGCTGCTGAGTCAGCCTCGTGGCTCTTGGCGTCCCCTTCAGCCTAGGGAGTGCCTTCTCCAATACCTCTTCCAGGAGCCATCTGCGAGGGAGGCACGCAGAGTATATATATTTTCAAGAATTGTTTCTATTATTTTACATTTTAAAGAAATGTCACAACGCTGCAAAAGGTATATGGAATCAAAGAAAATAAACTCATCACCCTGTCACAACCGTTAAAATTTTGGTTTACTCCCTTCAGTTTTCTTTTAAGCAAGTTTTACATACTGTCAAAAAGCCTGTATTATCTGTATCATTTTTATATAACATGATCTCGTATGTATTATTTGCCATTTTATTAGTTGGCCCCTATTTTTAATGGCTGCACAATATTCCACAGAGGGGTTATGCCACAATGTTTTTTTTACCCACTAGTCATAATTCACCTTTCCACATCTGTTGTGACAAAGGACAGCCTCTTTCTGAGACCTCCTTTTGCTTCTGACCCCTCTCAAGACCTGATTTCTATTTTGGGATTGCCACCTGTCAACTCCCTGTTCCTGTTTCTCCCTGTGTTTTCCTCCCAGGGTTATGCTGGCCTCCCAGGAAGTGGCATGTGAATGTCCAAGGTTTAAGGCTCTCGTGGGCAGTAATATGGGGGCAAATTTCATATCATTTCACCTAAAAGCCTCTGCTGAAGGATTAGGTATCTCGAAGGCAGCACAAAAGTGCTAGGACCTTTCAAAGCTGTATATTCAGGAGTGCCAGATAGTGTGTTATGTGATGTAAACTGAGTGCTGAGGAGGCCTGGAGCAGCCGAGTCATCATGGGGGACTGGGAACATCTGTGAGGCCTTTCAAGGACACAAATGTTTTCGGTTAGGGCTCCAAGGACTTTGTAATAATAATAGCAAAAAACAAGATGCGAGTACTGATTTTGTACCAGGCATGGTGTTGAGGATGGTCCACATAAAATAGGATTTAGTTTGAATCTCACAACAACGTGACAATGCAGGTTTTATGATCTCCATTTTACAGACAGAGCATCTGAGGTCCAAGGAGATGAAACAACTTCCTCAAGATCACAGAGCTGGGACTTGAGGAAGTTGAGTGGATTCTGACATCTGCGATGTACCAGGCTCTTGTTCGTTTGTTCATTCATTCAACATGTGTTTTTTTCATTTCAGGCATTGTGTATAATCAGAGTAGGTCCTGGGCTTCAGGGAGGTCATAGTTCGGGGGTGGAGTCAGGTAAAGAAAAGTTCCATCTGGTGGGGTGAGGGATGAACTTGGTGTGTGAGAGCATCTCAGGCGGGCATCTGACCCAGGCTTCTTGGAGGAGGTGAAACATTAGCGAGTCCCTGAGCCTTCATACGAGCTGACTAGAGATGGTGTGGAGGGAAGACTGGTCCAGGGGGATGTGGGTGTATTCCAGGACATCCTGCCGCAGACAAGGCTGAGTCTATTCCAAGAACTGCAGGCCAACCACTGTTAGACGGAAGCATGGAGTATGGTGGGATGTTGGGGGTCTATGGGAGGATATTTGAACAGTGGACTGCCATGATTGGGCTTTATAAAGAGCACAGGATGTATCATTGAGAATAAAGAAGAACAAGAGAAGAAGCCAAAACATCTACAGAGATATCCAGGTGAAAATGGGGAGTGGAAATGGTGATGGGGAGAAGTGGCCGGGATGCATTAGGGAAGTATTGAGGATACTGAAGAGGGTTATTGGAGGAGGTGCAAAGGATTAGATGGTATGTTGCAGGGTGCTGAGGGGGAGGGAAGAGTCATTTTTGGCTTTTGAAGCTAACGGTGCTGATGGCATGGAGTAGATGGCGATACTGTCCCCTGAGATGGGGTTTGGCTTTCTGCACTTCTGATTAAGAGTCAAGTGCTGCTCTCTGTGTGCATTGCCGTGAAGCCTTGTGCAGTAGTGGCATACTGATAAACACTCGTGTCGAAGATGGACTGGAATGGCCCAAAGCACACTGCTGACACAGAGGAGAGTGGCCAGGAGAAGGACAGTGTTCATCCCTGCCACCCCAAGGTAGTATTTTCATAATTTAATGGGGTTAGGCTTTTGAGTCAGACAAATCTGTGTCTGAATCCAGATTCCTAATCTGGGTCTTTGGGTAATCAATGAGAATACTACTAATGCCTAAGTTATTGCATTGTTACGGGGATGAAATGAGTTTAAGTATGTAAAGCACACAGTATGGGCAAAAGGTACTCAGCATGTGGCCCCAGTGGTCCTCGGCCCCACCATCATCGCCATCCCGGTGAACTTGCCTTGGCACAGAGCCATGCTGCCTGCCCTGCAGGCTCAGAAACTTGATCCGGCAGCACATTCAAGGGAGCTGAGGAGGAGTAAGGGAGCTCAGATGCTACGCTATCTATTTCAGTGAGTGCTATAGCTGGCAAGGGGGCCAGAATTCTCAAATCGACTAGGTCATTCTCTCCCTGTAGGCAGAACTCTGTGGAGAGCCAAATTATAATCAGGTTGCAGGCAGGTTCATGAGGTCTAATGATTGCCTGCTCTAGGCCAGGCTGTACACTCAATGTTGTGCTCTCCATCATGCATAAGACAGGCCAGCCCAGGGTAATCAGGTGAAGATAAAGTGATGCACTCATTTCACCACAGAGATGCCTTGTCGCTGACTTTATGCTTCCACAATGCTGCTGGTCCAGGCTCCCTCCACTCTGCATGGAGTCTTGGAGGGTATTGCTCAGGTTGTCTTAGCCACCTTTCTTCTTCTATGACTCCATGATCGATTAGTTTAGTCTTTAGATTAGTTTAGTCTTTAGATGTTGTCACAGTGTCTTGCATCTTTAGTAGAGTCACAGCCAAATCTTGCTGGCCTGGAAGCTTTTTTGTCCCTATGTGGTGATTTCTCATTTCTCTGTCCTGATGTATCATGTTGATTTCACAGTTTAGCTCTGAGAAGACAATTTTATTCCCTTCTTTTCAATTTCCTGGCAAGGTTCTGCCTCCCAGTCCCATTTTTGGCCCTAAGTCAGATGGTGAAAAGAATGTTTAGTGCATAAACACATTTTTAAGCTCTTGAAATGTAGATTTGTTGGAACAAACTCAGAAACTTTTTCAGGTATTAGCAGGCTGGCCAAGATACCAGATGTTATTTGAAGAAAATATGGATGTGTTGTCTCTTCATATTTATTAGTAAGTGGAGAAGTAAGTTTTAGAATTGGATCAACTTCTTAAGATTTTTATTTTACATCCAGATAGTTATGGAAAATCCCACTGATAGTTGACTAGGATTTTCCAGGCTTTCTTCTCCCTGAGATGATGGAAAAGATTAACTAACTTTACAAGCTTCAGATAAGACAAGCCTTAGCAGAGAATGGGAAATATTAGTAATTGATACTGTTTTGTTTTCTGGTTCCAACCGTCTTTCCTGTAAACTTGTAAATATTACATTTGGAAGACCAAAGGGAAAACAAGATTATTTTACATTTCAGTAACACAGTGAACTTTATGGGAGAAGCAATGTAGATACTGAATGAATTTTGTTAGGTTACCAGTAATTTACTGCTCCCATTTACAAACTAGTGGATTAGGAGTTGGAATTAATGAAGTTGCTGATGCAAAGAGAAGAGAGGCTTAAAAGAATATATAATTGGTAAGTTAGGGATATATCTTAGAAGATTATTCAACTGCCAATCAGTCCTACATGTGTGGGTTTTTTTTGTTGTTGTTGTTTGTTTTTTTTTTGGTAAAAGATGAAAAGAAAACTATGTTTTAAATGGAGTGGCAAGTGGATTCTTATTCTGGTATGATCAGCTCATCTGTCTCAGTTTTCCCAGAGCATCCTATGTCTTGGAGAACAGAGAAATGTCTCTTCTCTATTCTTAGAGAAAACCACCCAGGGTAGTGGAGAGAGCACGGGCAGCCATTTAGACATCGTGGGCTGCCAAACATGGCTTCTAATCCTGGCTTCACCACAAGGTCCTTCACTTCTCGGAACGTCAGTGTTTTTCATTTTTAAATTTGATTTTAATGATATCTACAGTGTTTATACTAAATAATATTTAGGGCTTCTTCCTTAAAAACTAGATACAGATAAGATTAAATGATACCGTAAGAGCATTCATTGCACCTTGCTTATAATTTAGGCTGATTCCTGTTTCTACTAAGATGCAATGAAACTTGACATAGATTCTAAATTTTTTCTCAACTTGTCCCTTTGTGTAGATAAATTCAGAGTTCTTTTTCTTCCTTCTCCTTTCTTTCTTCTAAGTCTGTGTTCATGTGTAGAGAAGAAAAGGGCTGCCTTGAAATGCTTTGGCTCCAAACTCAGAAGGCTCTTCTCTCGGTGGACACCCCCGTAATACGAAGGGGTTGAATCAGACTGTTTGCAGAAGTGCCCCTCCAAGGATCTGCTGTGGAAGATTAACTCCAATGGACGTTGTCACAGTAGGCAACTTCAAGGCCCACGTGTTTGAGAATCAGGATAAGGGTTTTTTTCCTCTCCAAATATATAATTTTATTTTGAAACTATCTTACACTTACAGAAAACTTTCAATTACAGTCCATAGACATTTTTCCCCCCTGAACCTTTGAGAGTGAGTTGCCAACTTGATACTTCAGTAGGTATTTCCTATGAACAGGGAAGTTCTCCTGTGTTAACTGCAACACAACCATAAAAATCAGGAAATTAACATGTGCTCATTTCTGCCATCTGAAATTCAGGTTTCATTCAGATTTTGCTAGTTGTGCTTTTTATGTTCTTTGTAGCAGAAGGACCCAGTTTATAGTCAAGCATTGCATTTAGGTGTCATGTCTTTTGAATCTCTTTCTGTTTGGAACAGTCCCTCGTTCTTTCTTGTACTTCAATACTTTTGAAGATGACAGGCCAGTTATTTGGTAGGATTCCTTGATTTGGGTTTGTCTGATGTTTCCTCATAATTAGATTTAGGTGATTCACCTGTGGTTGGAACATCACAGGGTAAGGCTGTTCTTACTGCATCTGGATGCTTACTTTGATCACTTGATTATCTGAATTAAGTCTGCAAAAATTCTTCAGTGTGAAGTGGCACTTTGAAACTTTGTAATTAGTAAGTATTTTAGAAGGAGATATTTTAAGAACTGTACATAGCCATTCTTCATTAAAGTTTCACTGTATTCACTTATTTATATCAGCACAGACTCAAGGATTCTCATTGGATCACATTTGCTCTCATTGTTTGTTTGACATTCCCATTGTCCCAGATCTGGCCAGTGGGAACCTCTTCAAGTTGGCTTCTATGTTCTTTTGACATGTCTTTCTTATTCTTTGAGCACTTTCTTGCTTTCTGGCAAGATATTCCAACATCATCTGTACTTTCCCTGCCAGAGTCTTGGAATAAGCCATTTCTCAAGAGGCTCTGGTTACTTTTCCTGGAGAATAATATTTGGAAGCCAAGGTCCCTGCTCTAGTTGTGCCCATGTCTATTGGGTCGTGCTGCTTCCAGACCTTCTCACTGGACAAAGCAAGAAGATATAGGTTTGAATACACACACACACACACACACATGCAGTCACTCACTCATTCACACACACACACATACATACATTTACATCTGCATTTATTTTTAAGCTTCCAGTTCTAATACATAGAGATGTTTCTATCAATACCTCTAATTCGAATCCACCATCACATGAATCATTCTAGTTTTCTCCCGTTCTTTTTTTTTAAACTGAAGTATAGTCAGTTACAATGTGTCAATTTCTGTTGTACAGCACAATGTCCCAGTTATGTATATACATACATATATTCCTTTTCATAAAAACATATTACAAGATATTGAATATATTTCCCTGTGCTATACAGAAGAAATTTGTTTTTAATCTATTTTTATATAAGATGGCTAACATTTGGAAATCTCAAACTCCCAAATTTATCCCTTCCGACCCCCTTACCCCCGGTAAACATGAGATTGTTTTATATGTCTGCGAGTCTGTTTCTGTTTTGTAGGTGACTTCGTTAGTGTCCTCTTTTTTTTTTCTTTTTCTCCTGTTCATTTTTGCAACTCCTTTTTCAGAAGTGAGAAAACTGGCTCCCGTTATTCAATTACAGTTGGTAACCAATCAGGCGTTGCTATGATACCCTCTCCCCGCATGGATGCCTTCCTGTGGGGCTCTGCCCTTCCACTTGGGCTCTGCACCCCAGGCCAGGCCATGCAGACACCTACCTTGCTTGGCCCTGCCTAACGCCTTGAGACTAAATTGTTTAATGAGGGGGAAAGGAAGGTCAGGTTACATTTTTTCCTTTTTTCTCTTATTTCTCAGGGTAACATCATTGACAATCTTCGGAATGTGTCTGTGCAGCTGGGGAGGTAAATTAGTATGAAATATTCAACAAATTTATTTGATCTCAAGCCCTGTTTTGCATGGGGCTTTCATTTTAAGAAATTATGACTTTCAGAATTTCAGGAGAATTATTCCTTTGCCCTTATCCCCTCCTCTTGATCTTGGATGGCTGGAGCCAGTATTTTCTTTTTATTAGCTCAGGAAGTCTGACTGCTTTGTGGCATTTTGATCCTCGAAAAAAAAAAAAAACCATGCTGATTTGCAATACTGAGTTTTTCTTCAAGAAAGAGGTTTTCTTGGAAGCAGATAAAGTTTGCTTTAAGAGTCTTAATTCTGTGGGTCTACTGACCCTGGATTTCAAAGGGTTGATGCTGGGATGTGGAAGAAGTAAGAAGTGAAGAAAAAGAAGTCCCAAGGAAGATAAGCCCAGGAGAGTAAAAGGACTGGTGAGATATAAGACTAACTCATAAATAGAAGCCAGAGGTGGTCACCATACTGCTTTGAAAACATCTTTCTTCTCTCCATTAACCTTGAACTGTTTCTTCCTGATTCTGACCTCAAAGATGATGGTCAGGGGCAAAGTGCCCAAAGATCTGAAAATATTCCACCAATTAGTGGTTTGTTTTTCCTGGAATAAATGCGATAGGCTTATATTTCCCCAATTCCAGTAAAAAATCTTCTATTTTCCCCCTTTATAATTTATTTTATTTTACCCAGCTTTAAAGAAAAAAAAATTCTTCTCTTGATCTTACTAACTGAAACCCCATTCTCCCCTTCTATTTAAAGCATAGCTCTCACTAACTCCAATTTCTGTCCTCCCATGCTCTCTTGGACCCCATCCAATCAGACTTTCACCATCACAACTCTACTGAAACGGCTCTGGTCAAGAGCAGGACGTGCTACATTGTTAATCAAGTGATCCTCTATCAGTCCTCATTTTACTGTTGGTCATTTCCTCCATCTTGATGTACTTTCTTCACGTGGCTTTCAGGACACCACACTCTCCTAGTTTCCCTCCTTCCCCCTCATTTTCTTTCCTTCTCTGTCTCCTTTGCTCTTC